GTGTGTTAGTCTCCTAAAAATCATAGACATAAGAAAGAAAGAGTGAAATTTGGTGAGATTTTGGAGAAGCTCAAAGTGTTTGGACTTACAATTGGGAGTTATACAATAGCTTTGGATTTGAGGTAGGGGTTTTTCTTGGGGAGGTTTTGTTTTGCATACATTGAGTTAATTAAATATTGTAAATACTACATTAGGCTTGATAATATTTGATTGTTGTTATGCTTGGTTATATTGTTTGATTGTTATCCTTGATATTAGATGTATACATGTTGTCAATTATCATTATAATTTGATGAATTTTGACATATTCATATGTTGTCGGTGGTGGTTGGAATTTTTGGGTTGATAAAGAAATTATGGAAAAGAGGATAATGGGAAGTATCTTTTGTGTAGTTGAGTCTAACCATTGTAGGGACCAAGTTCAGGCGAGCCTGTATGCACAGTAGATTAAGAAATCGGCAGTATAATTGTCGATTGGGTGATTTGGGCTTGGAGATCAATGGTGTAGACAAGATGACTAGCAAAAGGGGAATTATGGGATGATTGAAATGGTGTTAGTTTATATAATGGGGCATTCGGAATCACAGTGGTAAAATGCGTGATATGGGACATACAGATTTGCTTGCCCTATTATATAGATTAACGGGTTGGGTAGAATTGAAGTTCATTCATGCATTGTATAAATTGTACATTATAAATCTCACTGATCACATAAGACATAGGACCCCTACTGAGCATGTAATGCTCACCCCTTGTTGAATCTATTGCAGGCTTTGAAACTGAAGTGTCGTTTTTGCTGAGGAAACAAGAAGAATGGATTATGGATAGTTTTGAGTGTTTTGTTGAAAGTTTGTTACTTTCTTGTTATTTTGCTTGTAATAATACAATGTAAATTACTTTGACTTAAATGGAAGTTTACGTTCAATCTTCATGTTTCTTGATAATTAAATTTTTAGTTTTAGTTTTTCTTTTACCTCACATTCCCAAATAATAATAATAATAATAATAATAATTGGGGTGTGACAGCATCTTTCCTACTTGCCTAGGGTGAATTCAGATCACAGTCCTATCATGGTTAGATTTTTTTCTGCTCATCTTCCTAATAAAGATTGTGTGCCTCTTCGGTTTCAAGCCATGTGGTTCACCCACCCTGAGTTTTCTGAGTTTATTACTGATCTTTGGCAGTCTAATAATGGTAATGCAGTTATTAAATCTGCTGGGCTTGTGTCCCCTCTTGTTTCTTGGAACAGGCAGGTTTTTGGTTGTCTTTTTCGAAAGAAATGAAGACTTTTGGCTAGACTTGAAGGCATTCAAAAGAAGTTATGTTTAAGTTATAACTCTTATCTCAGTAAGCTGGAGAATGAGTTATCTGCTGAGTATAATTTGATCCTTGAGCAGGAAGAGTTGTTTTGGTTACAGAAGTCCAGAAATACTTGGTTAAAGGAAGGGGATAAAAACACTCACTTTTTCCACTTTTCTACTGTCATAAGGAGGAGGAGGAATAAACTTGAAGGTCTGAATAATAAGGCTGGAATTTGGATCACTAATAAGGTTGGAATGAAATTGACTATTGTCAATTATTTTCAAGGGTTGTTTGGTGATACTGGTATGGTTGATGATTATAGTTTGCTCCCTCATCTTTTTCCTAGGTTGGTTGATACGGATTTAGAAGGTTTAAGTTGTGAGGTTACTGATGATGAAGTTAAAAATAGTCTGTTTTCTATTGGGGGATTAAAAACTCCTGGACCTAATGGTTTTCCTGCCCATTTTTTATTAGAAATGTTGGGGGATGTGTTCTGCTGATATTATTGCTTTGGTGAAGGATTGTTTTTTAACTGCTTCTCTTCCTGAGAATATCAATGAGACGTTGATCGCTTTGGTGCCTAAAGTTGAGAGACATGTTTCCATGACTCGGCTTCGCCCCATCAGTCTTTGCAACACTCTCTATAAAGTGATTTCTAAGATTCTAGTTGCTCGGCTTCGGCCCTGTATGGCTAGTTTGGTCCGTCTTAATCAAGTAAGCTTTGTCCCAGGAAGACAAATTGTTGATAATATTGTTGTGGCTCAAGAAATGCTGCATAAGTTTAAAAGTTCTAAAGGGATGAAGGGTTTCATTGCTTGGAAAATCAATTTATCCAAAGCTTATGATCGGTTAAATTGGGATTTTATTAGAGAAGTGCTTTAGGAGGTTGGGATTCTTGGGATAATTCTTGAGCTTTTAATGTAGTGTATTAATTCAGTGCGATATAGGGCGATTCTCAATGGTGAATTAACAGATACTTTCTCTCCTAATTGTGGCATTCGGCAAGGGGACCCCCTTTCCCCCTATCTTTTTGTTTTGTGTATGGAAAAGTTTTCTCATATTATCCAGCAGTCTGTCCAAAATAAGGCTTGGAAGCCGGTGCATATCTGCCAAAGCGGTCCTGTTATCTTTCATCTCTTCTTTGCTGATGATTTGATTCTCTTTGGAAAAGCTTCTGTCAATCAAGCTACTGTTATGAAGAAATGTTTAGACGATTTTTGTAGTCCCTCTGGTCATAAGGTGAGTTTTGAGAAATCTATGATCTGTGTTTCTCCAAATACTTCTTCTGAGTTGGCTCAGGCTATTGCAACTATATGTGGTTCCCGTCTCACTACTTGTCTTGGCAAGTATCTTGGTGTTCTTATTCACACACAAGTCACCAAAGCTACTTATCAAGAGATTATTGATAAAGTCCAAAGGAGGTTATCTTCTTGGAAAAGTCATACTCTTTCTATGGCTGGTCGTCTGACCCTGTTACAATCACTTACTTCTGCTATCCCTATTTAATCCATGCAATCTGCTAAATTCTCGGTTGCTGTTTGTCAGAAACTTGATCAATTAAACAAAAAAAATTTATGGGGGCATACTACAGATCAAGCGAAGGTTCACTTGGTTAATTGGGACACTATCTGTAAGCCTAAATTTGCTGGTGGTTTGGGTATTAAAAATTCTGCTTGGATGAATCAAGCTCTTCTTGCTAAATCTGGTTGGCATTTACTGCAACGTGAGCAAGGTCTTTGGGCTCAAGTGTTTAATGCTAAGTATCTAAGGCATTGCGATATTCTTGCTGCTAAAGATATGCAATTCCAAAATAGCTCCAATGTTTGGAAGGGTATCTTATATGGTGCTCAAGTTCTTTCTGCAGGTGTTAAATGGCATGTGGGGTCTGGGGATGATATTTTGTTCTGGACTGATAGATGGCTTAGTTGTGGGCCTTTGCATCAATTTGCTCTAATTGATTTATCTGATGACATGCTTCACTTAAATGTTAGTGACTTTTTAGAGGATGGGGTTTGGGATTTCAATTGCTTATTGGAATGCCTACCTGTAAATATTGTCAACTTGATTCTTAGTACTCATGCTGGCTATTATGGGAGTGGGGAGGATAAATGCATCTGGCAGGCTACCTCTAATGGCCAATTTTCTGTTAAAACTTCCTATAGCACCTTTTATCTGGATGAGGGTAGTGTTAATTGGAAATGGGATTTTATTTGGAAGCTTCATGTTTCGCCTAAGGTTAAGACCTTCCTCTGGCTGCTGTGCCATAAGAAGTTACTTACGAATGCTCAAAGATTGAAGAGAAAGCTTACTAATGCTGCTGTTTGTCCTAGATGTGATTGTCCTTTGGAATCTTGTGATCATCTTTTATGGATTGTGCTGCCACTCTTGCTATTTGGAATAGATTTGGTTTTGGGAGAGTGGAAGCTGGTCAAGATGATTATGATGACTGGCTTTTGCATAATTTGAATTCTAAGAGGCTTGTTACCCATGGCCTGCCCTGGTATTTGGTTTTTGCTATCTTTCTCTGGTTTATATGGAAATGGAGATGTAAGGTGGTTTTTTATCAGAATTTTCTCTTGGATGCTGAACCTCATCTGATGATTTATCAGTTTGCTTTGGAGTGGTTTTCAGCTTGTAATCCAATGGCTATTCTCACTGAGCGTAGTGTTGTTCATCTCCATTAGATGGCCCTTCTTCCTGGTGTTTGTAAAGTCAACACTGATGGTAGTAGAATTAATTCCTCTGGTCTTATTGGGGCTGGGGGTTTGTTAAGAGACTCTTGTGGGAATTGAATCAAGGGTTTCTCTGTGAATCTGGGCTATGGTTCCATCATTGAGATTGAGTTATGGGGGATTTTCTAGGGGCTTAATATGGCTTGGGATGCAGGGTTTCGCATAGTGGAGATTGAGTGTGATGCTTCTTCTGCTGTGGCTTTGTTAAAAGTCCTATTGTGTCAACTCACCCTTTCTTTAGTATTATCAATTGCTGCAAAATAAAGATTCATAAGGATTGGTGCTGCTCTGTGAAGCATATTTTCCGTGAACAAAACTGTATTGTGGATGCTTTGGCTGCTAAGAGTTATGATTTTGATCCTGGTCTCCATGTGTTTTTAGAGGCTCCAGCTTTTCTTAGTGATATGTTAGTTGCTGATGTTCGAGGTGTTGCTAGACCTCGTCTTGTTTCTGATTAGTTACTTTTTGGTTTGGGGCTTTTAGCCCTCCTCTGTACCCAAAAAAAAAAGAAAAAGTGCTACATGTCTTGTGGTATATTGTTGTGTTGTATAGTTTGGAATTTGTATCAAATACCTATTTTAACATAACTTGTTTAATTAGTCGTATGAGATTCTTTTACACTAGGATTTTTTTAATGTGTTCGACTTTATTCATAGATCCTATGAAATATGAACTAAAAATTCATTCTTTTATTTGTAGGCTAAACCTTCTTACTCATCACTCCCCATAAAATAAAAATACTCATGATTTTTATGAAGGAAAAAGAAAAACACACATGATTTAGGTGCTAGTAAAATCAAGAAAAATATATTTAACAAGCATTTGTTATTTGTTCTTGTCGGATAATACTTGTCTTGACCTGTTAATTTGTGCTAGAATCAATTTCAAATCACATTATGGAATGGTGGTGTTAAAAGTAAAAGTCATCATCTCTATGTACATGAAAGAAAGGCTTACAACGAACATGAAAGAAATTATAATTTATAAGCCAAGAAGTCTGCAAAATTACATGTGTTGCTGGTGGTTCTATGTTGTAGGGATACAAAATTACATGTGCAAAGCTCCTTACACTTCTAAAAGATACAAATGAACCCACCTTGTACAAATCAGAATTAAAGATCATGAAACTATTTATTCGAAAGCCATTTGGTAATCTCCATTTCAAGAAACCTCATCCAATCGATCAAGAAATCCTTTATGAGTTGCACAGTCATTAAACAGAAGCTCATTTGAAGAAGCTGCTTCAAACTTTGTCCACAACTCCCTCTTTAAGGTATTCTCACCAGGACGCTTGCCCATTCGAACAACGCTTTCAGCTTCTTTCCAGATCGGGGTGCTTCCTATCAGTGCAAGCCTGCCCCGTACAGGTTCTGTGACAAAAGAAAAAATTTGAATCAAAACATGTCCAGTATGCTGTGTGTGCTCTCACACATAAAACTAGTAAAAGGAGCAAACAATGAATGGCCAATACCTTGAAGACAAGATGTTTTGACTTGATGAATGCCTCCTTGTCCATCATTTCCTTTTGATACATACAAATTCATTTGCTTATCTAGAAGATGACTGGTTTGTGGCAATTGGAAATCAGCATTGTCTGAAGACTCTTCATCAGGTGGATTTAGTAGAACACAAGTTCTGGGAGGTGACATACACCATTCTGGTGACGCTTCTACATGTTTCTTTCTAGGTCCCGATTTATAAGCCTGTTGTAGCGCCAACAGCTCTGGATACCTGAAAGCCAGATCCTCAGAAACTTCACTACCAGAGGATTCACTGCAATTTGTGAATCCGACAGGAAACGGGGTAGACTTATGAACCCTGCGATGGCCCTTAGGAGAGGATTCTGAAATGGGTTCAAGCAAAACACAAGATTTAGGAGGAGACGTTTTTAGGCACGGAGTCATCACATTCACGACCATGGAGCCCCCTTGTTTCGAAAACAAGGGCGGAGAAACAAAACCAAACTCAATATTGCTTCCTGGCTCAATACCAACTGGTCCAGAAGGCTTACTTGGAGTTGGCTTTGTTGCCACAAATTCAAGCAAATCATCATTTGCATCTCCAAAAGTAGCATGAAAAAAGGGTATCCTATCAGAAGTACCAGAAGAAATTCTCTCAAAGACTGATGATTTAGAAGGGATTTGGGGTTTGGAAGACAGAGACTTTGATATGGGAAGAGGGGTAAGTTTAAACAGATGTCTCCCTCTTTCGATAGTGCAGTCGGCACGCCAAGACACAAGGGGAGAAGGTGAGATAAGGGAGCCTAGTGGACTCTCAACCTCTACACTTTCAACTTCATTTACAGTAGACTCCACAGGAGTGGAGAGTGACTTCTGAAGCCTGGGAACCCATGGCTGCAAGCAGTTGCATAAAGTGCAGGAGAAAATGAAATTCAACATCAATTGGGAAAAATAGGATGTATCATTATGCAAGTGGGATACTGAGAAATGAATTGGGTAAGAATTCTACTGACCTTCATAGAGGAAAGTATCTCAGACAAGAAGTTTGTGAAGGATTCAACTTCTTTGGTTTCTGTTCCTTTGCTTTTAAATGCTTGCACAACTAATTCATCAATCTGCCATTCAATTTCAATACAAATCACATTCTAAATTCACACAACCCTAAAGAAAACAGAATTTTCAATTTTCAATATAGATGAAAACTTTAACAATTCTGCAGTGGTTTCCAGTTGTAAATAGAAATCTCGAGAGAGAAATGTTGGCACCTGATGAACTAGGGCAGAGAGATCGGACTGAAGGAGCAAGAGCCGATCCAGAGTATCTTCGTTTTGATCCTTTCCTTCATCTTCTTCGACCCTAAGCTTGTGTGGTTCCTTGTCTTTCTTCTTCGCGGTGGCAGAAGATTTGGAGAACCTTCCGTTCTTCTTCGCTGTGGCAGAAGATTTCGAGAACCTTCCACCGCCATAGTTGTTCGCTACGTCCCTCAACGCCTTCCTCACTGACCTCGCTTTCTCTTCGTTCATCGGCATCTCTCTCTCTCTCCCGCTCTCTGTCTCTGTTACTCTCTCCGCTTTTGAAATTCACAAATAGCCGCTCATTTTCGCTTAACTCTAGATTTCTTGGGCCCATTGCATTATTGGTCCGCAGGCCAAGCCCATCATAATCCGGCCCAAACGATGCCGAGCCCATCTTATGACATTTACATGGATTATTATAATACAAATTTATAAATAAACTCAATCTTAGACGTGTATTTATAAAAAAAACCCAAGCACTATTTAAACATAGAAACACACCCAAAATCAACCCCAAAGTCAACTTTTTGGGTGTGTTTATAAATGGGTTTTGAGTGTGTGTAATGATGGGTTTTGGGTGTGTTTATATGTTTAAATAGTGCTTGGGTTTTTTTATAATTTCAACCCCCATTTTGAGTGTGTTTTAGTGAAACTCCCTTATTATAATCATTCTCATTATCGACTTCCCATGCATTTATTAACATATGTGGATTGCATACTGAAATTTATAATCCAACCCTTAAAACCATGAATTAAATTGACTACCGGGCTCATTTCTTTATTTCATATTCCTAACTTTCTCAATTCACGATTTCTCTCATTTTTCGTAAGTAAACATACCCGGCTGGTATCTTTTCTCTCTTGGTATTCCAATTTTCATTCCGACGAGTGACATCGGTCCCTCTTCTCTCTCTTTTTTTATAGATTCCATTAAAATTCTAATCGAATATCCCTAAATTTTTAAAATCCTCAATCATTCCACATTAGTATCATGTTGTGACAATTGTGTAATGCTTGACCATTAAAGAAATTATTGTGCCGTACATAGTTTTGTGAGCTCTATCTAAACTGAACCTAGACACAATTCCGGACCAGGTATCCATATCATCACTCCCCCAAAACCCCTAATCCAGTGACAAACTCACCACAACACTGCAAGCCGGCGCGTCAACCCACGCGCCACCATCGCACACACAGCGACACCATGGCGGGTAGTTTTGTGGAAATCCAAATCCCGCAGCAAAAGCTCTACAGCGGAATTCAATTCCCGGTAGTCATAACTCCGAGCCCCGCAGCTTCCTTCACTCTCTCTGCTCTCACCAAAACCATCGAAGCCCAGAAACCCTATCTGGAGGCCCAGCTCCGAAAATCCGGGGCCGTGCTCTTCAGGGGCTTTCCCGTCAATTCAGCCTCGGACTTCAACGAAGTCGTCGAGGCTTCCGGCTTCGAGGAGTTTCCTTACGTCGGCGGAGCCGCTCCCCGGACCAACGTCGTGGGTCGGGTTTTTACCGCCAACGAGTCCCCGCCAGACCAGAAGATTCCATTTCACCACGAAATGGCTCAGGTATATTCGCATCTTCCGTTTCCTTTTTAATTGCACGGCATGTCGTTTTTATGTGTCTTTTCTTTCTAGTGCGGTGTTCTTGCGACGTGTCGTTTCAGGTGCCTGAGTACCCAGCGAAGTTGTTCTTCTTCTGTGAAGTGGAGCCTGGAAGGGGGGGAGAAACTCCCATTGTTCTGAGCCACATTGTGTACGAGAGGATGAAAGAGAGGTACCCAGAATTTGTTGACAAATTGGAGGAGCATGGTTTGATATATAACCGGGTTTTAGGCGAAGACGACGATCCCTCTTCTCCAATTGGCCGTGGCTGGAAGTCCACCTTCTTGACCAAAGACAAGAGCATAGCTGAGGAAAGGTATATATGTTCAAAATTATACAACAATCCAGTCTAATGCAATTAATATAGTTCTGTTTATCTATAAAATTTCAGATGGTCTAGAAATTTTCCAATTGTAACACCACATGGCATGTCGATATAATGTTACGAGTTCAACTAAATTATAAAAAGGGTGCAGTTATTAGCATCTAAAAGCTAAACAGTAAATGATCAATTCTATATTAATTGCACTTGTTATGATTTGAGTGAATTCTAAGACCATGTGTTATAATTTGAGTGAACTTGTAAGACCGTGTCCTTATGCCACGTGATATTAGGGTAACATACAGTTGTCATCCAATATGATGTATCAAATGAGCCTCAATGTTTTGTTTAAGGTTTGAAGTTGTTGCACTGATTGTTCAGTTAGTTGAGTTTGTGGGTTTGTAAAATTGAATTATGAACAACTAACAATGGCTCTGCTAAAACTTTTGGCAGGGCTGCTAAGCTGGGCATGAAGTTGGAATGGTTGGAGGATGGAGTGAAATCTATCATGGGGCCAATCCCAGCCATCAAATATGACAGCACAAGGCAGCGGAAGATTTGGTTCAATAGCATGGTAGCCGCATATACAGGGTGGGAAGACGCAAGAAATGACCCAGTGAAGGCTGTCACCTTTGGAGATGGCAGCCCATTGCCCGCGGTAACCATCCACGACTGCCTGAAAGTTCTTGAAGAGGAAAGTGTTGCCATCCCTTGGCGCAAAGGCGATGTTTTACTGCTGGATAACTTGGCTGTGCTTCACTCCCGGAAATCGTTCAGTCCACCTCGCAGAGTCCTAGCTTCACTGTGCAAGTAGTTTAGCTGCATCATGTATGTGTTCTTATGTGTTGTTCACTCCTCCCTTTTGGAGAGAAAGGGTGCTAAAGCATGTGTTCTACTTATTTGTCCATGTCAGGTTAGGGTTTATGCAGACGGAGCTTGTTTGTACAATCCTATCTTAAAGAGTATAATCATATAATGATATGGTAGTTTCATACATCTTCATGTTTCTAAATAAATTTCGATTGCTTTTGTAATTTGTTTTTTTTTTTCCTGACATCTCCATTGATGTTTCCGTGAGTTCGAAGTATATCTAACATGACACTTGTAAAGGGAGAAGAAAAGAAAAATAAGGGAGACAATTTTGGATCAAGAAGCTCAAGGCTTCTTGAGATTCAAGATGAAAATATTTGCTCGGTCTTATCAGCATTTTGTCAAGTAGATAATACTGCATCCATGTGCATTGACTATTGTCTGAGTGTATTTCTGAGTATACTGTATAGGTTTATAATAGAAAATCCACGTAAAATAGGATCAGAATCGAACAACTGAAAAAATTAAATATATAATTAAGCTACTGAAAGCTCACTCTCCGCCATCACAATATTTCACATTAAATAAAAAATTTCCCACAAATGACACTACAAAGAATAAAACATCTAAAATGGGGGGAAAAGGAGAAACAAACCAAAATGGATGAAAGAAAAGATGATGTATAAATACTACCACCTTACTACTATATATGTGCCACTATACACAGCATACAGATAAAAGAAAGGCAAAAGAATGAAATCTTTGAAGGCATCGGGTTGAAAGGGAAGGTGCTGTTCCACTATCTTCCCTGAACAAGGCCACTGAATACCTGGCTGTTCCCTGCAAGAGTGGCTTCCCACTCCACTGAAGATAGGAGGATCTGTGACAGGGAAATCACGATTCCTTTCATGTCGGGCCGTAGGATGGGGTCATCATCTACACATTGCTTCGCTATCATGGCCACCTATGCACCAACAAGAAGAAATTAACAGGTTACTCATAAACATTGAAAAGCAGTTTCGAAGGTCAATAAGTGTTTTTGTTTTTCTTGTTTACTCTGATGATATAATTACTTGTACAGGAATAATTCTAAGGTCTACATTTAGCCCTTTCTGGCCCTGGTCTGGGTAGGTGCTCAGTAATGGGATATCTACTCGCTTCCGGATTGAGTAAAATAAGGTTTCCTCTCCCAGAAAGTTGGCAAAATGTTAGCTTTGAATGAGAGAGAGACAAAGTAAAGTATTAACAGCCACTTTCTGTAGCATGATAGCTTGATAAACAAAGCTTGGGATTACATAAAATCAATGTCAAATTTTCATATTCAAACTAATATACTATATATGGTTTCAAATTAATTCTCACATGACCCCTGTTCCCACAGTCCAGTTAAGGAATAAGTGTCACTTTTTCACTCAGATTTACAAGTAATTTGTATGCTAATTGACATCAGAAAATTATATGGTTTATCTTTTGAGCACTTTCTTGTATCAGAGAGGTACAGTCTGTGAAAGAAGGCAAAAGTATCCGCCAATCTGTATGAGTTCAAAAGGTGATCATAGTTACCTTGAATAGACAATCATGGGGATACAAGTCCATCATATTTGGATCAATGTAATCTTTCAAGCTTGACATACTCATGGAGTCCGGTGCACTCCTAAGAGCTGTTTGCATCTGCAATTCAGACAAAAATTAGGGATGTATCATATAAGCAGAGCTGGTTAAATTATATTAATTTGAATTGATAACTACTCTAAAGAAATGTTATGTGCCAAAGATCATTAGATTTCTTATATCTATACAGAATACAAAATTATGTCTCCTAGGAAGAACTTACAATAGATACCAGTGAACGTCTTTCAGAATTTTTTGTAGCTGTGCCTTCAGTTCGTATAACAGCCTCCTTTCCCGATATAAGCTCAAAAAGAACAACTCCAAAAGCATAAATATCACTTTTGGTGGTAGCACGGCCATCACTCAAGTATCTACAAGGAAGCATAAGGGAAGTAATTAAAACTTGTTGAATTTTTCAAGGAAAAAGTAGTCAGCTGAAAGTGTACTTACTCTGGAGCCAGATAACCATATGTACCAACAACTTTGGTTACCGTAGCTTCTCCCTCACTTGTTTTACCAAAAATCTTTGCCAACCCAAAATCTGAAATCTAAAATACAAAGAGAAGAAGTTTAATAAGTGACATGGACAAAATGCATACATACACAACACACAGGAAATCACTATAATATATTGAACCTTTGCCCTGAAGGTACCATCAAGCAAGATGTTGCTTGTCTTGATGTCGCGGTGGACATAATGAGTTTTAGTGTGCTCATGGATGTACTCGAGACCTCTAGCAGCATCAAGAGCAATCTGGACCCTCATGATCCAGGAAAGTGACGTATGACCTATGAGCCAGTTAATCATTCGCAGAGATTAGGGACATATGCATGGCTCAACAATACAAAGGTCACATACAAACTGGAAAATAAAGTGGATAGCAGGCCAAATTTTAATAGAACCTAACCTGGAGCAGATATTGGGCCAAAGAAAGAAACAAGAAAAATATAGCTAATGACATTCTCTAA